GTCACTTTTGTTTTGTGTATTTCACTATATATAAATTATATTTCAATAAAATTCATTTTTTTAAAAAAAGGACATCATGTTTGTTAAAGTCAAGGGTCAATGAAAATGAGGAAAAGTCTCAATGAGATGGATTGACACAATAGCCTCAACAATGGGCTCAAACAAATCCAAGATCATGGAGATGGCGCAGGACCTCACAATGTTTTGGTGTGTTATACAGATGGTCACCATGAGTCTGAGCCAACTTGACAGCAACTAACAATGACAATAAAATATATAGAAATGAGATCCAAATTTGCTTAAGCAAAACAAGGCAAGTTTATGGGCTAATATAAGTGAGAAGGGAGTCAAGGGATGTTGCTCTCAGCCTGCCTCCCCATATCTCAGCTTTGCCCCTTGGTTTCTTTTTTTTTCTTCTGTACGTAGCCACAGGCAGCTTAACAACACCAGAAGAAAAGAGCATGCCTTCTCCAGATGTCAATATTTCATTCCTTGAGAAAGCTTCAGATTACCCCTTTTGCATCTTGTACTTGCCTCTGGTGCCATCATCATTACCAAGGGAATGAGATACTATGATCAACCAACACTGGGTCAGAGGTAGATAGGGTCCCAGGATTTATATCCCATCTGTACCCACAAAGGAACTCTGGTGGTGTAGTGGTTAAATCATTTGGCTGATAACCAAAAGGTCAATTGTTCAAACCACCAGCAGTTCCAGGGAAGAATGATGAGGCATTCTGTTTCCATAAAGATTTACAGCCTTGGAAACCATATGGGGTCTCTATGAGTCAGAAATGACTTGATGGCCCTGAGCTTGGTTTTTCGGTTTGTACCCATAAAACAACCCACATTCACATAGGCTCCTGCAGCCAGCCAGACTCCTATCATCAAGGCCCAAGCTAGGTGGACAGACTGATCCTTTCCACCCACACAGTCCAATCCCACATGCATCTCTACCTTCCTTTTCCCTTTCCTGATTGGCTTCCTCCTTCACTTTTCCTTTCTTTCCTCTGAACACATCACTGTGCTAACCCCATGGGAATGGTTGGGAAGTGCACATCCCTCAAGTTCACAGGAACTTTTTTGTGTATGTCTTTCCCTAAAGGCTTTCTTACTGCTGTGCTTCAAGACTATGGAAGAATTAAAGGAATCTCTATAGATGACCTCACATTTACCCACCAAGTGATTTCTGACACAGTTGACGTGGAAGATGAGGAGTTCTCCAGAATGATCCAAAAGAAACTCAACATAGTCAGGAGAGCCTTTAAGGTAATGGAGTACAGTGAATTGGAAAGGGTAATCATTTATTCATTGCCATAACAAGCCTTTATTTAGCACTTATCAGTGTCAGGCCCTCTATTAGGCCCTAGAGACACAGGATGAATAAGGCACAACCCATCATCAAGTCCAAGTGCCATCAAAGCTCATCTCTCCCACCCTTGTTTAAGGGGAAAAAAATTACAAATAAATTAAATGAATAAACTATTTAAGCATAAAATAGATGAATTTTGAGCTATAGCTACCCTCTGTTATAAATCCAAGTCTAGAAGCTCTGCAGAAAACTGTTCTTAGTAACAGTGACAGGTGAATGATGGCTCTGCACGTGAGGTATACTGGCCAGGAATTGAACCTTATTATCCCTCATGGAAGCTACCAGTGAATTCTACCAGTGAACCACCTGGATGGTGCAGTTAGCACACTCACTGTGAGCCGAGAGGTTGATATTTCGAGTCCTCCCATAGCCATCTCAGAAGAAAGGCCCAGTGGTTACTTCCAAAAAAAATCACCATTGGAAACCCTGTGGAGGACACTTCTCTGGCACAGATGAGATCACCATCAGTCAAGTCAACTCTATAGCAACTGGCTTACTGGTTAGTGTATCTGAAGAGTGAATGCTGCTGTGGTCAGGATTTGAAGGTGGCATTTCAAATCAGTGGGGCAAACCTCTCCTCATGACTGCTCAGAAGCTGAAGTGCCTGCCTATCCAGTAGCCCACTCATTCTGCAGAGGTCAGCCAGGCTTTAAGCAGAAACCTCTTCCTAACTTGCAGTAAGACCCAGAGTACTTAGCAAGTGGTTAAGGATGCTGGGTGGTGGCACCAGGCACGGCCCTGACGCTGTATCACCATCTTGCCCTCACTGATTTGAAGAGCCACAGTATTGTTTACTAAATTTCCAATATGTTCTAAGAATGTCTTTTTCTACTCCAGGACCAATATCATCTAGTGTTAGAAGTTGTAAAGACATGCACACTTGGCAGAGCAAGTCACTCCTCATTGTTGTTTTTAAAAACTGTCTTGACTTTTGCAGTTTCTCTTCTAGAAGAATTTGAGGATAAGTTTATCACATTTCATTTCTCTTAAAATTCTGTTGGGATTTTTACCAGCTTGCAATTAATTTATATTTAAATTGGGGAAGAAATGGTATCTTTTCCAAAGCTCTGGTGGCAGCTGCTAACCAGAAGGTTGTCCATTCAAACCCACCAGCAGTTCTGCGAGAGAAACATGAGGCAGTCTGCTTCTGTAACGATCACAGCCTTGGAAACCCTACAGGGCAGTTAGTTCTACTCTGTTCTGTAGAGTTGCTCTGAGTTGTAATCAACTCAGTGATAGAAACATGGTTTGTCTTTCAACTTATTCAGATCTTTTATATCCTTCAGTAAGTTTTGCTTTCTTCACGTAAATCTTAGAAAATTTTTGTTAGATTGTTTTCCTAAGTATTTTGCAGTTGTTGCTGTCATAAAATATGATCCTTAATGCTCTACATGTTCTTTGTAGTCAGCTCACTTATTCATTTCTAATTTTTTTTCTACATCAAACCTGCCAACTTTGACTATTTCATTTACTTTTTCAAATGAATGTAACGTTTTCTGTCTGCATGCTTTCCTTTATTTCGAGGCACTTCCTACTTAGGACAACCCACCCCATGTGCATCAGGATAGAGCTATGTTTCACAGTGTTTTCAGCGTTGATTTTTCCACCCAGAATTTTAGAATAAAAGGCAACTCTGAGTGGGCTCCAACCTCCAACCTTTCGGTCAGCAGCTGAACACATTAACCATTGGCACCACGCAGGGACTCAATTGACTTGTAGACATTCTGCATATATTCCTTAAAGAGCCTCAGTAGCCCACATGGTAAGCACTCAGCTGCTAACTGAAAGATGCTGCTCTGTGGGAGAAGGACCTGGCAAACTGCTTACAGCCAAGAAAGCCCTCTGTCACTTGGGGTTGCTACGAGTCAAAAACAACTTGATGGCACCTGACAATAACAATATATTTTTATTCTAGGTCCAAGAACTTTGTCATATATGGGGGTCACTGTGAGTCGAAAATGACTTGATAGCAGTGACTTTGGCTGAATTTAGTGCATAATATTAACGAAGTTCTCATAATTAACTAGGCTATGTGTTCTGTATTGTAAGGATTTCATAATTTCTGGTCCATTGGGGATACTTCTTGTCACCTAGTGCTTTCATGAATTTGTTCTATTTTATCATTTAAAGGAATTCTGGTGGCACAGTGTTTAAAGCATTGGGCTGCTAACCAAAAGGTCAGCAGTTTGAACCCACCAGCCGCTTCACAAGAGAAAGATGAGGCAGTCTGCTTCTGTAAATATTTACAACCTTGGAAACCCTACAGGGCAGTTCTCCTCTGACCTATACGGTCACTGAGTTGGAACTGAATATCACTGGGTTTGGTTTTGATATTTTGTCCTTTGGGAATTTGAGGTGGGAGAAGTTGGGCAACACTCATGCGCTGTTTACCCTCTTGATCTAGTCCCGGTCCTACTCTTCTCCACACTCATCAGACCACACCAGAGATCATCCTGAATGGCTGAGGGCTGGAAACCCTATCTGAAAAACAGTGAAAGTGGGAGAAGCCATCCTAAAGGACAGGAGGCTCTGAGCAGACAAAGATGTGCTTAAAGGAGTGAAACCCAAAGAACTAGACTCTGGTTCTACTAGAACTCCAAAGAGTAGAAGCTCCAAGAGAAGGACTGTTTTGTTTGATATTGGGGGTAATCACTTGGTCTGAATGGTCAGTGATGGTGGAGTGTCCTTATATACAGGTTTACAGAAAGCAGAGTTAGGAGAAATTAGATGACCACTTGGCAAGGATGGTGGGATTGAACAAATTTAAACTTTGGACTAGATTATTTTAGGTGTATTCTAAACTTAAGATTTATTCAATTGTTTATTAACTCATTTGTTTAAAGAAAATGTGCCCAGAAGTGTGTATGTAGGCACTGGGAATACTGAGATACTGAGATGAACAATAGGATTCCTGACTCCAGAAGATCTCAATCTGCCCATGATGGCAGTGATAATTACTAGCCAACATTTACTGAGTGTTTGCTGTGTGTCATACACTATACTAAGCTCTTTAATGCATTATCTAATCATCAAATACTGTTTTCCTCATTTTATAGATCAGGAAACTGAGGTTTAAAGAAGGTGAATGGCCTACCCAAGATCACAAAGCTCAGATCATAGGCTTTGAATGTGGCTGACTCTACAGCCTGTATCCTAACCTCCCACTACACAGTTCATTAGACATAAAAAGGGTCCAGAGGCACTGATGTGAGCTGGAGCCCTTTCTGAGCCTCAGAGGGAAGAATCAGAGTGTGCTCTTACCTCTCAACTTTGTCTTTTGTCTCTAGCCTTGTCCTAACTTCTCACTCAGAGGTTCAGTTTTTTCTGCTTTATACCAAAAACCAGCTTAGATTAAGATAATTTCCATTTATTCTGACTGGCTCTTTGGAGAGTCAAATCACTACTCCAACACAGACTACTTACAGACTATCTGCAATTTGAGCTTTTCAGGGGAAAGGTTCATGGATGCCATGGCCAAGTATACCAAATATAAATGGAAGTCACATTTTCAAATGTGTTAGATTAGCCTCCTCCAAGATTTATATGAAAGGACAACACTAGAGCAAGTGCAGTGTATGAAACTTTGGATTTACATAAAATTTAAAAGAGAAGTGAAAGTCATTAGGCAAAGCAATTACCAGTGAAAAGTCTTTTATGGAATAAGCATAAATACAGGTGTGTTATGAGCTGAGTTTGCACCTCCAGGTACAGACATCTTCCAGAATGGAAAGCACAATGTCCATGAGCACAGCGCTGGCCATTCCACTCATCAGCAAGCCGGGGACAGGGGAGTCCAGTGCTCAGCTGCCCAGCCCCTCTGGTTTGGGCATCACTGCAGGTCACTAGGTCACCTGCAAGAGGGGCACAGTCCTCAGCAAACCCTCCCACAGCATACCTGGAGTCACCCAGAATGGGAGCTTCTAACAACTCAACTTTCTACTCCACAGAAACTCATCAGAAATTCATTCATTTAACTCATTTCATATTATTCAACGATATGAGGTACAGCACTCTCCAGTCTTTTTTAGATTTCTAGGGTCTTAACGAATTGCAGGGATGGCTTGGACTAGGCCGGGAGGGAAGCAATCTGCCTCCTTGAGTGTCCTCCAGGAGGAACCCCCAGCTAAGCATGCTGCTGTTGTTAACAAAGTGTCTTGCCTGGGAAGCCACTTATACCACTGGTTTTTATCTTAGGGCACGAACTCATCACACATTGGAGTTCACACTTTTGGTTTGTTCATCGATGGGGCAAGATGGAATCATGAACAAAAAATACTAGATGACTCACTGCCTCTTGAGATCTGTTGCGATTTTCCTGAAATCTACTTTTTGCCAACAAAGGTAACCACCCAACTGTTTACCACTAAATTCTAACCTTCTAAACTTTCTCTCGGTGATACAAACCATTCCTTCCAGTCTGCATTCCCTATGATTTCACACGGGAAATCTGATGATATAGTTAAGAGCGTAAACAGCAGTTAGACCAGAATATTGCTAAAATCTAAAATAGATGCTACATTAATATCCCATGATATTTCTCAATAATATGTAGTATAAAGCCTTGATAGTTATTCTTCAAATTCTCCAGGCATAATTGTCATACACAGCCACATTAACCATCTAACCCTAAACACATTTAATCTGTAACAAATCCCCCAAATCTAACACAGAAAATGAGCTTCTGGTGTACCTGAGCTATTGACTACTGGATTTTTTTTTTTTTTTTTTTTTTTAGATTTCTACTGCAAAACCAAATGCTTCCAACCAAACAGACTCAGAACTCTATACTTTTGAATGCCCCATTTACCAGACACCTAAAAGGTCAAGAATTTTGACAAATAGCACTTTATCCACAAACTTTTTAACATCAGTGTGTTTACCAACGCGGAAACCTCCTAGTCACTGGATCAAAATGCGGGTTGCATTGCTGTGTGAGATGAAAGAATGAAAAATAAATTTCAGTATTAACCATTTCATGTATTTATTTATTTACTTTGCTCAAATGAGATGTATTTGTTCCAAGACACTGGCATGTAGTGATCACCCTTCATTTAACACCCCCATGTTTGGTGAGACTGAATAGTGTAGTCTCTTTCAACCATCTGCATCTGAAAACTTCAACATGTAAGGGAATCTTCCAGCTGTTTTTTATTTCTGACCTGGTATGCAGTGTCTAGATAGCTGAGTTCTAGCACAGGTCAGCATAACCTGGAATGCAGGTTTGACTCTTCTAAAAGTAAACACAAGGAGTATTTATGTAAGAATTTCTTCTTTCTGCACTGTTACACATAATAAAATACACACATGTAGAGTAGTTGTTTAGAACACTTTCTGTCACTGCTGGGTATACACAAAACATGACACTGCTGGCCTAACTGTAGACTTCTGAGACAAAGGAGAGGGACTGTCTTCTATTTTGAAAATGCCAGAGAGCATATGTCTTGTTTTGACTTCACTAGGCCTCTCTTCCCATGAGAAAAACAAATCCTGAGGAGTCAGTAAATTAGAATAATATCTAAATGTGTTTTTGTAGGCAGAATGCTATTAATTTTACGCTGTAACAGTTGCTGCCGTTATTGGACAGATCAATCTAGAAGAAGAGGGTGTGGGGAGAGAGGCAGAGAATGGCAATCTAAGGACTCATATCTTGGTCCCTAAGGCCGCCCATAGTTCTAGGCAAGAATAAATGAGGCTTTATCAAAGCAACAGCTTTTTATTTTCCACTTTATTTCAAACTTAAAACTTCATTATAAAACTCTACTTGTGAATAAACACATGAAGAACAAAATTAAAAACATATTGTAGCTAACATCATCCAAAAATTGTAGCACTGTGTTGGTAATAGGCTCTCATCATTACCAGGGAAAGAATCAAATGTCCTTCCTTTCCCAAGGCTTCCTTGGATAATGTAGAGCTGCGACACCACTATCTGACTGACACCAGCAGAGAAGTGTAATAAAACTGCTTGCATACGTCAGTACTAATAAAACACTGACAATTTCACCAAAATAAAGTTTAAAAGCTATAGGCCGCAGAATGCTAAAGCAAACCACTTTCATGATCACATTAACATAGCTAAGTTAAATATACTTCAAATTGCAGTGCAGAATCAACACTGCATTTATAAGTGGCTCATATATAAAATGTATCATTAAAACTCAAACGTACAATATTTAAACATCTCCCTATGTTTAAGAAACTGAAAACAATTTAACTTTTAATACAAAAGTTTAGTACAATTTGCTACTATTCCACTAAAGGACAATCAATAAAGGAGACTATATCAACTTAAGTAGAACTTAATGGCTAAAGCTACCTTATATGCACATCTATTGAACTAAAAGAAACTATTCCCTTTGAATTATTTTTAGATTACTAGACATCTAAAACTGAAGATAACACTCCTTTTACAAAAGGTAAAGTTTTGTAAATATAAAGGATATACAAAATACAGTATAAACAGCATGAACTAAACAGTAGCAAAAATGTTTAATTTAAAAAGTCAAAACCATACAAAAATATTAGCCTGAAATGGCAGATTTTCAAACACCAATATGTGTGTAAAAATGTTTAAATAGTGATGTTACTCCAAAAAATATATTTATTCTATATTTTTCTATTTGCAACAGTTTATAAAGGCAAACAAACACCTGCAATTGAGGTAGCAAAGCCAAATTCACAAACTTTGGAATAAGAAAAATATTCTTCCTATGTTTTAATAGCGTCTTCTCTACAATACTAAGTGAATTCTAATATTCCAAAATATTTAACTCACAAATGTGTTACTTTACAAAACTTAATTTAAAATACTAAAAATGTTTTTGTTAAAAGATATTCAGCCCTGACAAGTCTCTCACATTTAAAATACTGTACAGAAAAATCTGGTCACCATATATTACATAAAAGTAAGCTATGTATTTACATTTTCAAAAGCAGATTTAGAAGCTGCTATGATATGAATGGTCTCACTTAAAAATAATCTCTTATTCTTCTTCACATATAATATTTAACAAAGAACCAGTTTTCACTTTTAAATCACATAACTAGTAAATTATTTTTAATGAAAGCATAAATGGATTTTAAAAGTATTTAACAGTGTTTTCATTTAAGGAAAACCAACTGACAAAACAGAACAATCAAAATGTGAAAAGTAACCTAAATCAGTAAATTTCTGTTTTTAAGGGCTGAAAATTTCCTATTAAAATGAAACCTCTAACATCTTTCTATTTTCTTTTGTGGTAATTATTATAATTTCATTTTTAAAAAGATCACATCTATATTAAAAAACTTACTACTTGGCTCTATAGTCCAGATTCAAAAAGAATGCTTACAGACCCTGTCAGTGCAACAAAAGACGGTTCATCTCAAATTTTTTTGTTTTTGTTTTTGCAAATGGAAGCTACGCTATCAGAAGCATATTAAAAATATGCTAGCCAAGAATTAGTAAATGTATGGAAAGATACGATATGGCACCCGCTGGCAGTACTTTTCCCAAGCTAAGCCGTATTTCTTCTTACAATGGTGTTCATCCCGAGCTTCTCGGTGGACAATCAGCATGGTGAAGTAAGTCACATAGAAATAAGGCAAAATGTGATTAAAACCTGTGGATAATAATATAAGCAGTGTTAGATATTTTCATTATCACTACACAATATTAACTTTTGCCAGGTTTCCTCTGAAAATTACAAAAATAAACCTTGAGATTAATTCATTTTTTCCATTAATGGGAAAAACAACTAATCTGAAAGAATCCCATTGGTGTGTGGTAGAGGGAAGGATGAGAACTCATAGAGAAGACTGATTAATCCAATCTAACAATCCATCACCATCAGAACATTCATCCTCATTTTTAATGCAAATCTCTCCAGTTTCTTCTCCTCCCACCCTTGGTGAAGAGGAAAAACTACCGCTTGCCACAGCCAAGGGGGGTGCAGTAACGCAGGGTGCTAGAGACCGTGGGCTACACTACCAGACACTTTCAAGGCTGGTGCAAAAAAACAAACAAAAGAATTTTCTTCTTAAGAACTAAGGTTTTTCACTGTTCCACCTCCTACTTTGGCGAGAAGCGACTGGGATCTTAAAAGCTAGCAAGCTGCCATCTAGATGCAATGATGGGTCTCTCCTCATCCAGAGCAAAGAAGAAAGAAGAAAACCAAAATTCATGGAAACAGTTAGTCCTAGCGACTGGTACACCATCTGATCTGCAGCCTATACGACTATGAGACCAGAAGAACTAGATGGTGCCCGGCT